TCTTTCCCTTTGGCAGGTAAATGCTATTCTTCCTATCTGCATTCACAATACTCCCTGCCTCCTGCTCTTCTTACAGTTTCCTGACCCTCCTCACAGATTAACGCACAGGAAGAAGCTGGAAGGCACTGACAAGTGCCCAGGGTTGGTCCTGCCAGGCTGGCAGTCTAGGGACAGGTAGGAGTAAGTCAGCCTGTTGAGAGAGGTCCACATGTGATGCTCACCAGGGAGAGTGTGGCCAGGAGTTTGCTAAGCTTGGTAAGAAAGGAGGGGGATAGGAAGGTCTTGGGCATGGTAAAGCGAGGAATAATGAGGAGAAGCTTGGTCCTTGCATGGGCCTGTAGTGTGCAGTTCAGATCTAGATCTGGACTTTATTGGAGCCTGGAGACACTGGGATCCATGGGCTACTTCTTGACATTTTAAGGCTTAAGCATTTTAAAATTTTGCTTCTGCCAACTGAATGAGGAGAGAAGCTGATGAAGCCTTGTATGGCTACTGCATTTGGAAGTAATGAATCAGAGCCCAGGGGGTTGCGTACAGTTCTGTTAATGAAAACTGCTGCTTGAGCTATGAGTCACTAGCCATGCAGCAGCATGCCTATGCTCTGAAACCATTTCATTTCAGTGTCCTAGAAGATGCAGTGCTGGTTCTATAGGCAGTGACACTGGGAACTTCAAGGCTTTTTGTAATATTCAGTGTGCAGATTCCTCAAACATCACACATCTGCTTGTCACTGTGCATGTCATTAGGGCCCAGATAGGTATATTATAAAATTCAAAGCAGTGTCTATAAGCCACAGGCTGAGTAGTTGATTTTAAACCTAAGAAAAAAGCAAGATTGCTTTGCATATTAAATCAATGTAAGCTGTAAATAGTGGACCCAAATTCACTCCCACTTAAAGTGATACAAATCTTCAGTAATTCAATAGAATTGCTCTGGGATTACACTGGTGGAAATGTAAAACTGAGTTTGACTCAGTGTATGTTTCTTTTTTCTGAAGTGACTTGGGAACCTGTATATTTGTGACTCAGAGAGATATATCAGTGTTTCATGAAAAGAGCAATTGTATTTATAGTTTATTTCAGTGTCCTTTTTATATTATCATTTGTGCTGTGACTGAGTACAACAGACAGATAATATTCATCATCGAAGAAGAAATTAACTAGCAATTTATAATAGCCTATTTTTAAAATTAATCTATAAAACTGGCAATGCATTTTTTGGCTCAAGGCTTGACATACAGCCCTCTTGGAAACATTTATTTCAGCCAGCAGACACTGTAGCAGATGATGCCGATTTTACACTGTACATAAAAAATGCATTGTTTAGGAGCTAAAACTTACTCTGAACGTTACAAAGTATAGCGCAATAAAACAGCCCAGGATGCAAAACCATTAGTATTCACTGAAGGCTTTGTCATTATTTTGTATAGGTAACCAGCATTAGACATATATGGTTATTTGCAATACTCAAGAGAGAAGTTGGGTCCTATTTTGTTTACTAGGACATATCTGGACATTGGATTTATGTTCTAAGTTCATTCCTGTACTGCAGATACATTTTGTATATATATGTGTGTGTTAATACACCCAGTCATATGCACATATACACTAAAGATGGGGTTTTATTGGCTGAGGGTTGATCTTGCAAACTCTTATTCACATGTATGGTTCAACTGACTTTAGCAGAGCTACAGACATTAGTATAAATGCTGCTTGCATGAGAAAGGGATGCATGATCAGGCTTTTAATCCTCTTGTATAGCTTAAAATTTAATGGACTTAAATGTTCTAAGATCATGAAAAGCTAAAATAAAAACATTTTGCACTTCCATGACATTTGATGATCTTAGTCTAATTTGCAAACATTGATGAATTACATTTCCCAGCTTGTCTTGTAATTTTAAGTACTGGATATGTTAAGGTCAGCTTTTTCAAAAGTGATCACTGATTATGGAGGACTCAACTTGAATAAAGGGGGGGGAGGGAGGCACAATTTTTCAGAACAACCACATCTGTAAGTCCATGGCAACTGCAGAAGCTTTGTAGCTTTCATGAGCAAGCTCTAAGTGTGCACCCACCAACTGAATCACCCCAAACCAGTAGCTGGCTTTTAAAATGTAGGCCCAAATGATGAGATCAGGTTTTCAAGTGCCAGCTTTATGAATAAAGCTTTGTAACTGAGGAGATAGATGCCTGCAAATCACCTATACACAGTTTCTGTTTAGTAGTTTAAAATATTTAAACACAGAATTCAGTTCAGAGATTGGCTCAGGGACTTATAGCAAGATAACCTTTCTCTCCAGGTTGTTCATCCGAAACCAACCCAAGTCATTAGCAGTGTATAACTGTTACTGTTGGAGGGCTGTCTCATGCATTACACGAACTGAATGCATGCGTCTAAAGTGAAGTGTTCTGCACTACAAAATCTGTCTCTAACTGGGAGTCTGGTTAGCTGTCTCAGTTGACTGCCAAGGCTTGAATGAATTCTGTAGACTGAACTCCCTCCTGCAGCCTGGGAGGTGAATTATTCAAGTCTTGGTTAGCGTAAGAGTGGTCAAAGTGGGTGTGGGGATCCTGGTACTACTGTTCTGCACATAATTGGGTACTTCTCAGAGATCTTTGGACTGGACTAAACTCTCGCCAAAACCAGAAAGCATACAGAGCATGAAACAACCTATAAATCTGGACTGAAAGCAGGATGTTTCTCACCTGGGCTGGTTAAGTGCAGGTTCACTGCTGGCTGAGGCTGGTGCTGGAAGCCTCAGCTGAAACCCTGGTCTGCGGTCAGAGAAGCTTCTCTTGACAAAAGGCTGAGGGTTGACAGCGCTTGCAGCCAGCCTTCTGGACTGATCCCCCCAGGGTCTGAGCGGAACACTGTTTTTCGGGGCAAAAGCTGAAACTTCAGTTTTGCCTGTGACCTCTGCAGTGGGTTTGCTAGGCGGAGATGGAGGTTTGGCTTCAAATAAAGAAGAGGTGGCTGGGCAAAATATTGAATGTACATTACTGCCAACCTTTGAGGAAGGAGGTTGTTGTTCATCACTGGAATCTGAAGGGATTTTTAGTCCTTTGTATGACCAAGATGGAGAAGTTGGTGGGGATGGGGTGGCACAGAATGGAGGTGAACTTGCTTCTCTGCGGTTCGTTGGAGGGCTTGACATCTTGCGCTGAGTTGGTGGGCTTTGTTTGCGTCCCACTGGAGGGCTAGACAGTTTTCGTTGAGTCGGTGGAGAAGACATCTTCTTTTGTGTTGGAGGGCTTGATACTTTTGGGCTGGTTGGAGGACTAGGTTGCCTGTGTGTAGGAGAACAATTTGGCTGCACAGGGCTAAAAACCTGCACAACGTGTCTGGGATGTATAGGTGGACTTGAGAGCCGTTTCTCAGTGGGTGGAGAAGAAGGTGGTGTTCGTGTGGGAGAGACTCTTCTAAGGAGAACTGCGCTTTTCTCATTTCTCCTGAGTGAATCAGGAGAACTTTGCTTTGGGTTTTGCTCGGAAGGTAAATTTATACCAGACTCTTTCCTTTCTGATGGGTTTTCCTTTCTGTTTTGTTTTGATAATCCACTGGGATATGGAAGAGGTATTATTTTATGAGTTTGCTTATACAAATCTGCAGCCTCTTTCATTTCCTGCTCTCTCTGAGATGCTAATGTATTTTCTTGGCTGTACAGATTGGAAGGATTCTGTTCTGATGCATATTTTCCAAATTTTGGGTCTGCTCCAGTGTTCCTTAAAACTTTACTAATAAAAACATTGGGGCTGTTGATATTTTTACTTGGTAATAAATCAATAGAATATAGGGAGGCTTTCATCTTTGGAGAAATTTGTGCTCTCTTAGCCATGTGAATCTCTGTTTTGGCAGGCTTTTTAGTCTCTTCTAAAGAGTTTCCTTCCATTCTTATACTTTCTTCAGACACAGATAAGTCGAATGAATTGTCCATTAATATTTCAGGAGGTGGTGGGGGAAGATTCTCAAAATCTACATCATATTCTCCATTTGTGTCAGTTGTGTTTAATTCTGAAGCAGGAGGAGGTGGAAGAGCTGCTGAAGAGTTACACTGGGTTGCATTTGTGCTTGGAAGGTTTGTGTCTCTGACTGGCAAGACACGATGCTTGTGACTTAAAGGTGCTAATCCTCTCTGAAAGGGAAGGGTGGGAGGCATTACTGGAAGTCCATATTTTCTGATGCACTTTATTGGTCCTAAGGGTCTTAAATGAATAGGTTTCACAAGGCCTTCACTCAATAAGCTTTTTGACGGATTTACGAGGGGTACAACTGCCACTGTTCAATGTTTGTGTTTCAGGAGGTTCATTGTCTTTCCCATTTGATGAATCTTGAGTGAACACAGCAATGTTTGAAGGTGTTCTACTGCTCCTCTGATCGGGCTGACTGGCAGGATTTTGCTCAGCCCTATATAATGGGACCTTATCCTGATTAGGCAAAATGCTGAAGTTTTTTGAGAGGCATGCCTTTAATTTGTTGTTAGAAGGTCTAAGAGTAGTAGGCTCAGCGTCTTGCACATAAACCACTGCTCTTGGTTTTAGGGACTCCCACTTTCCATCAGTATCTTTGCTCCCATTAAGTGCATAAAATATTTCCAGTCTTTTGCTGAGCTCCTTTTGAGTCCTTTGGAGTTCTAAAAGGGTTGGGTCCTCTGCCTGGCTTCTGAGGGACTCCTCTGACCTAGACCTTCTTTGTTTAACTGCAAGTCTCCGACTGCCACTTGCTGTACTAGGCCTTGCTGTGACTGCTGCTTTTCCATCTTCTACCCACCCCATCGGTTCAGATCCAGCTGGGACAAACTTGATCTTTTCACTGATTGCATCTTTCATCTTCAATATTATCTCTTCCTTCTCTGGATTCTCAATCCTTTTAGTGGCTGTTCTCCATGCAGTATCAGTTACTGCTGGTGAAGACATTTGTCTTTTAAGTAGAGCATCCTTACTCATTTCTGATAAACTTACATTGTCATCCTCCTCCTCCCCCAGGGTACTCTCCTCATCTTCAGAAGGATAATCTATTGACTCACAGTTTTTTAAATGTTCGCTTTCCTGGGTGGAATCAGACAGGAAGGAGTTTAGGGAATGGCTTTTGATTAGGCTTGAACATTGGGGGCTGATGGAAAGATCTATTGCTGACTCCAGGCACGGAATTCCTTTTTTGTTGTCCACAGATGGATAAAATACTGCTTTACCATGCCTTTCAAGTGCATAGTCCTGAGATCTGGTTGTGACTAATGCTGATGTGCCATCCTCCATATATTCTTCTGGTGGTCCGATGTGCTTTTGGGATGAATGATCACAAACACAAGCCTTGCAGCTTCCTTCCTTTCCAAGCTTATCAAGGGATTTGAATCCTTTGACAGATTCATTGTCTGCGCCAATACCACTGTCTTCAGAATATAGAGTCCTATCATTGCTATGGGATTCAGAGGGCCCCACTGCAGAGGCTTCAAGCAATTTTATGGTCTTTAGTAAGCGTTCATCAAAACCTTGCTTTGCCTTCAGTTTTAATTCCAAATTGCTGGCTGCAGACTGTAAGTAGCTGCATGACTCTTGCAAGGCATCCGAGGTTAGGGAAGCCACTGTTCCATTTACCACCTGCATTTTGTTGACTGTATACTGTAGTAACTGCTGCAAAAGATCTGGATGCTCCTTTGGATCATCTTTCCCAGCTGGCCACAATAGATTCTCACCAACCTCTTTGAGGAGTTCTTCCCCATCGTTGGCAATTTCTTCCAAGAGCTGGTTGATTTCATCAAAGCGAAGCACTAGAAAGCTCACCATCTGCTGTAAGTGCAGCTGAGTTTGGGTAGCTTGATTGGCCATGCATAGGATAGCTTCATACTTGGAAAGGTTGGGATTTAGGAAGGCATAAGCATTCTGATGGGCTTTAACAAGCAACTCTGGGAAATCCACCTTTTCCTCAGTCTCACACAGAGGTGAGATGGACTTTTCTTTGGTTTTGCAGTGACGACCCTGCTTTGCCTGTTTGTGGCTTTTTTGTTTCTTTGCTTTCTTAGGTATTTGCTTTGAGTTGCTTTCATTCTTGTCATCCAAAGTGCAAGCAGCTGTTTCTGATTCACAGGAGCTTTGCTTTTTGATCCGTGTCTCCCCAGCTACATGTTTTTGAGACTCGGTCATTTTGGACAGGGATGATTCAGCCTCTGTCCTCTTGATTTTCTTGTCATCTTTGAGGATCTTGTGATGTGAATGATCCTCAGATGACAAATGGAAGTTAGCATTTTTGTCCCTTTCCAGTACTTTTTCCTGATTTTCCTTCAGACCATCTTTCGTCTGACTCCCACTCTGGGAGCTCTCATCAGTGTTATAGTAAGATGAATTTTTGACCAGCAACGGAATTGAGAACTCTTTGTCCCCAGGATCAACAGGAAAGATACCTTTAGGATTATTTAGAGTCCTTCCTCCAATTTTTGCAATATGATTAACAATCTCACTGCGGGAGGGTGTGCAGCCCATCCTGTCACCTTGTTTGTCAGCCTTTTCTGTCAATATCCAGATGATCGAATAAAGAATAAGAGATAATAAAACTTACGGCTTCATCCCGTACTGGAATCTGGCATTTTTCTCATAAGGGCTTCATCGACAATTCTTCCAGTTTGTAGAAAGTCTTTTTTTTTATATCATAATCAATTTTTCTTACTTCCCAGGATCCCGTCACAAGGAAAGTACACACCATCCCATTGTATTTTGTTTCCTTTTAAATATTCCTTTTCTATTGCAGAAAAGCAATGTGAAAGCTTGTCTGAACTTAGAGCTAATGGATTAAGAGGACTTGTGTATTTTGCTTCTGTCTTGACAGATGTCAACTACAAATAAGATTTTAAGCTCATTAGGGTAAGAAGGCTTCAGCCAGTCAGCACCCATGTTGCATCTGTAATAGAGAACTTTCTTGCAGTACTGACTTCCAAGGCAAATTAATTTTGAGCCCTTTTTTTCCTCTTTCCCCCTTCGCGAAACACCCTACAACTTGAAATTTAACACCCAAAGGAAGAGCCTGTTTTTGATGACTTGTTGGAGACACCATTTTAATAGAGGAAGAAAAAAATGCCTGTGAGCAGCCCTTTGCCAGGAGCAAGGGTGACCTTGATAAAATACAGATCAAACAGAAGGTATAAGACATAGAATCAGAGAGGTTAGAGATGCCTATTAAGTCTCCTTCTCCAGGGACTCTTAGCAGTGTTTCACTCGCAACTCACAAGCTATTTCCTTTTTTTCTTCTGTAACCTCTGAACCAGACAGCTTATTTTCTTCCATGATCTTTCTCAGGATCCATTTTACTATTTTAGCTAGGTCTGGAGCCTAAATACTTCACAACACAATAATACAATATTTCAAAGTGAATTTGGTGTATGCAGTATGGCCAAAAATGACACTTACTTTCAGTACACATCTGTCTGTCTGTCTGTCTGTCTAATAATGTTATGCAGTATAATTTACAGCAAAAGCTCTGTTATCTGGCATCCATGGGGAATGGGGGCGCCAGATAACCAAATATGCTGGTTACCTGAGAAATGTCTTTGTCTGGTTGGGCAAAGACGCTCCTCCTGCTGCGTCCAGTGCATCCATATCTCAGATTAACCGCGCCGCCCCTGCTGCCATTCCCCTGGCATCAATGTGCTGGGGGACAGGGAGGGGGGGCCCTGCACAAGCTGCTTTGCCCTGGGCCGTGGCCCGAAGTAGGACTTGGTGAAACCGGAAGTCCCACTTCCCGTTTCGGTTTTGCTGCGTTGACTGACATGCCGGTTAATAGACCATGCCAGTTAATGAAGTGCCGGATAATGTGGCTTTTACTGTATATAATTATATTATGCAATAAACATATTTGCATTCAAAATATAGACATTATCATTGTTATTATTACGCAACATACATTTTATTACTGTACATGCATTAATTTATACTACACAGTGTTCAATATTCACAAAACACCTAACTTGCAATATATAATTCATGCTCTGACATGCTACCAGAGTGTAGTCAACTTCAAGCAGTCCAAAATTATGAATCAGGTTCTAAAAATCATGAGGTTGGCTTTAAAATGATGAAATTTTAAAAAGCTCTTTTAATTTACCTTCTTGTTTGAGCTTTAGAAGGGAAGTGTTCAATATTTCTTTTGCAATCATAAAAGGTTTTAAAACTTATTTTTAATGAAATTTGATATTTTCTCATAACTGCATGATTCCAGGAACGTAAAAAAATCTCTGAAATCACAAAACTGGGTTTGAGAGATAAGGCCCACTTCTGCAGTATAGCTGAGAACTACTGATCAGATAGATTCTCAGGCCAATGCAGGATTGTTCTTTTGTTGCTGATTGATTTTTAAAAAACAGATTAAGAATTAGAACACTGTAATAAATAGAAAGCTGAAAGTGGTGACTACTCAGTTATGGCCTCTTGCTATAGGACTGAACATGTGCTTTCGACTCTGTCTTTGAACCTGCCTTCTCCCAAGCAGTTCAGTTCTAACTGGTCAGGCTGGTAAGTCAAAGACATTCAAACAAGGTGCATCACTCCCTTGTTTACAGTTTACTATAGAAACTGTAGTGCCTTAACCTCAGTAGCCCAACAGGCTGTTATGCTTGGTTTGATTTTGAATTAAGTACACGCTTTTTAAAAAAAAAATATTTCTCAAGGGTGCTTTGTGAATAAAAATTTAGAAAGAAAACTCTCCTTAAACCAAAGTTTGTCAATTTATTATGAAGACTAGGCTAAATGTACTGAGCTGTATTATTTTCTACCTTCTAAATACAGGCAGCAGGCAGGGTAGAGTTGCACCTTACAGACTAATTCGGAGATGCATAAGCTTTTGTAAGCAACAGCTCACTTCATCAGATGCTGTGAATCGACACCCAGGGAACAGGCATTCAAAAAGAAAGAGTTCTTTAAATATAAAGACAAGGAAGAGGGGAGGAAAGGAGAGAAGAAATGGCGAGAGAGGCAAAGATGGGTTGAATTAAAAAACAAAGCAGTAAACTATGCGGACATTGAGGTCATAAAAGCTACTGTAGGCAATGGGAATTTATATAAGAATTTATATAGTCTCTGTTGAGACCACACTTAACACAATCCAGTCTGTGGATGATTTCTTGTTCCACAATTTTTGCATTTAGTTGGTTTTTAAGGTTGTACTGTTTGAGAACAGCTACTCTGAGGTCAGTGATGAAATGTTGAAGGAGAGTAAAGTGTTCTGCTACAGGTTTTTGTGTGTTTCTGGATTTGGTGTCACACTGGTGTCCATTCATTCTTTCATGTATGGATTTCCCTGTCAGTCCAGTGCAGACAGTAGAGGAGCACTGTAAGCAGGTGATGGTTATATAACATTGGTAGAGAAGCAAAAACCTTAGCTGTTATAATCCACTCTGGTCTGATGATGCTGTGCTCTGTGTTGATGAGGGGACACAGCTGGCATCTCCTAAATACAGTTATCCTAAAGAAAACAGACATCTCTCAGTATTGTAAAGGTTGGAAAAGGTATCTTCCACTACCTTTAATTACTATGTAGCTTTATGCTGAGTTAGCAGTCATCTCTTTGTAATAACATGACTTCTAACAATTTTGATGCAGAGCTCTAGTTTCCTGAAAAATCTCTCTTCAAGTTGCCAAATGTATTTGGTGTTCTCAGAACATAGCAAATTTAGCTGATATAATTAATTCCTCACTTCTAGACTCTACTAGCAAAAAAACCAATGGCCTTGTCTATACAAAAGAAGCAGCAGCTCTAGGCACCAGAAGGCTTAGGCACAGGCACAGAAAGACAAGCTAGGAGCAGCCTCCTGGTATATTTCTGGTTTACAGTGTGCTTGGGCAGGATATGCTTGAGCAGTCCTATGCTGGGACCTACCACTATAGACATATGGACAAGATCCAGGTGGACCAGATTTCTATTTTATGAACAGGTTTTATAAGGTTTCATCCTTCCCCTTCTCCCCACAGTGAGACTCATGGTGATGGAGGCACCTGGTTATAAACTATTGAGGTACAAAAATTAGTTTCAACAAAATTATGTCAAACTGAAAAAAAAAATCTAAAGTAGTTCTTCTGCCATAAATAAAATGTGTTAAGAATTCAGGATGGGGCACAGGAATGTTGTTGAAGTATAAACATTTTATCTGCAAAGTCCTGAACAACTCACTCTTAGTTCATGTGGTGGTGAATAACGCAACTCATGCCAATGGTATGTTCATGTTCCACCATATATTTTCCTTTTGTACATGCAACAGTCCTGACCTAGTTTCCCATAGGCACTCAGCTAACATCCTGCCACAGTAGCCTAACTAGGGTGAGGTGAGTTGGGCACCAGCCCTTGATGCTATGAGGGAGTGCTAGAATCATGCCAGGAATCTGCAAATGCAGAACAGCACTGTGCTGTCACTGCCTGGCCATAGTAGATGGGGAGGGTAGTGCCACACCAAGCAGGGTATCAAGGGAGTGAGGGGGAAGTGGAGAAAGTGGAATGGTACTCCCCAACCCCCTCCATCATGGGAGCCTTTGCCAGAACAGGCACAGTCCTGCACCCCATATGTATATATCAGAGGGAGGAAGCAAATGGGGTACCAGGGCTGGCTCCTAGGGAGCCCAGCTATGGGGCTGCTACCATCAGAGTGGTGCTAACACTGCTGCAGCAGCAGTAGCCTGGGAAGATAAGCCTTCCCTTCCACTCATCCACATTCTTCCCCACAATTTACACTGGTTAGCATACCTCTGCACTGGTGGAGACGTTACCTAACACTCTATATAAAACATTCTCATTACTTTTAACTGAAAAGAAACTCTAAATCTCCACTGATGACAGTAGGTGTAGGTAGTTGCACAGTTAAGATGATGGGTTAGAAATCCATTTGTGGGGGTCTCCTGTTCATTCTGATGAGGAGGATATTTTAGTTTAGGAACAGTGGATCCTGCCTTTATGTACAGGATTGGACTAAATGAGACTTGGGGTCCCTTCCAACCCTAGGATTCTATGAAATTTGGCAAGAAGAAAGGCCCAGGGCCAAAAAGTACATTTTCTTTCTTGAGTGAAATTCCCTCTGGACTTGATTAAAAAATAAGCGTGTATTACCATTTCCTCCTATTGTCTGCTTCCTGCAGAATAATGTTAGCAGCTTGTCAAAATAATACCCAAACATGGAAATTCCAACCTATGGCTTGGCCCATGCTGCCACTGCTGTCTGTTGTTGTCACAGCAGCACACACTGCATCGGGAAACCCAGGGGCAGTCAGTCTTTCCAGAAGCATACCTTTAAAAGTCACACCAGAGAACCCCAGCAAGGCCTTTCTGAATCTACTACATGATTGAAGTAGTCCATCTCCCGCTCTAGGGGCACCAGGTGAGGAAGGACTTCCCCTATCTCTTAGAGTGACAGCAGGAGTAATAGCAAGCTCTCTAGCAAGCTACCCTGAATACTCCTGATATCAAGCACGTATTGCAGCACAGGGTGGACCACTGGACCCATAATCTGCAACAGCTGTATGTAATAGCATTTGCTTTCCCATTTTTTCTTAAAAATAAAACAGAACTACATTAGTTACATGCTTAAAAAAAGCAAAGACAAAACCTCTACTGAAAGAATACTATTTGGATACGAAATTCAAATACAAGTTAGGCATTATTCAACCTGTTCAACCTTAAATTGATCCTGTATAAGATATGTGTTATGAGATAATCTTTAATCACATGATCATATATAAGACTTCTGCCTAAAGCAGGGAAGAAAATGAATGGTGTCTAGAGAATGAATACAGGTGTAGAGCGAATGGAACTGTGACCTATAACAGTCCTGTCTTATTTACTTCTTTAGAAGATGAAAAGTACATACAGAACAAGACAAGGAAATGCAGAAAGAGAAAGAATGGTTGTGTTGATTGCATCTAAATTCCTTAAGGTAAATGAATGCAAGGATATTAGCAGAATGCTGATTGATCTGTTTGTGAGGACAGTTTTTTTCCCCCTTGAATACATTAAATTATGCCTCTTTCACTATTAATTTGACAATTTAATTTCTAGTTAATTTCCATTACAGGATGTCATAGACTAGCAGAATTCAGATGTCAATACTGCATTGTAATGTTTGCATGATTCTTTTTACTGTTATTCAGAAGATCTCGGTAAATCTCATAATAACAAGACATACATTTTTGGCCTAACTTTACCTGACAGTGTTTCTTTAACACATGATAGCTAATTTGCATATGCACTGTGATTGGTCATCATTGTTCCAAACCTATTACTTGTTAAGGTAGTAAACAATAGAAGCTTTGTTGACTCATTATATGACTATTCAGCAGGTTGAAACAGGATTTTTGTCATGTCTGTTCTTGTTATAAATCTATACAGTGTAGCAAATGTTTGAGACTCTTTAAAAATCACATGAAGAAAACACTTCCTTTTCCCAGAAGATCTTACTAGGAAAGAGGAGACAAAACATGATGTAGGACATGAGCTCAGTAAAAGCACTATGAAAAGATTATTGGTGAGGCAACCAAGGTAGGAAAAATTTCTGGATGAAATAAGGTGTGATAAAAAGGACCTGCTTTGTATAATTTATTAGTACTATTTATTGATCTACTTATGGGAATGTTAGAATATATTGGTTTAATAGATATGGTAGAAAAGCAGGAAGGCAAACAACAGAAATGGCTCATGATAAAACACTTCTTGGTAAACACCTAAGGTGTGGTAAGAAACAATATTCAAATTATTAGGGTCTGTAAAATAACTGGTTCCAGCCAGTTTATAAAACAAATTCTGGCAAGAAGAGATTAAATTTAAAGATAGACT